CCCCCCCCGCCCCTTTACACAATTTAAATCGCACCGACTGACCTGGTGGATACAACACTTTCACTCACCGTGCTACCAAATCGCCAACCGTGTGGTGCACCATACGAAGCGGGATGTTGGAGCAACGTTCATGCACCATCACAAAAAAATTTCTTCTGTCCAAATAATGTACGTCTGGCAAGCAATCTGGCCAGTGCATGCCTTCAACGGTGACGTTTCGACCGTCGACATCTGCATGCAGGCGGCCCGGGCAGCCATGAACACGACACGTGAACGAATAGCGGTTGTTGGCCAATGGGGCGGTACGTCTATGGTACCAGCGCCCATCACCGTCGTCAGTGTACCACAGGCGCCCAGACTGAAGCAGCCGCCGGTCCATGATGCTGACGCTCCTCACACCGGAACTCAAACTGATGAGCGTTCCGTGCTGGACCCGCCCACGAAGTATCGGTAGTGAGCGAGGGGGGGGGGGGACAAATTCAGCATTCCCAACATTCCACAAGAAAAGTATGTACCAAAACAGCCGTAGTTTATCCACATTATTAAGAGCTTGCGTGTATTCGCACTCACCTTCACACATTTTAAATATTTGAAAAACAAGTAGTATGAAGACAATGTCTTCAAAACTTATTTAACTACGAGTGATTCGCAGTGTCATTATCAAAGTAATTATCGGTACGCGCGCGGTATCGAGAGTGTCGTCGGCAGGAGAGGAGGAGAACGGGGGGAGGGGAGGGAAGAGGGGAGGGCTGTCTGGCTAAAGTAGACTGGGCTAGCATTTCGTCAATTCTATGAAACCGCTGTTCTACACGCGGTTTTGTGGACTATACCCATCTACTGATACAACTAAATTCACGAAAGGTAGGTAACCTGCAGAAAAGACGAGGTAGTTCTCATACTACTGACTCCCTCTTCAAACTTATAGACAGTCTTCGAACATATCAGTTACAAACAGAAACGTTTGCTGCTGATTGCACCCCTTCCTCTTCATTATTACAATGTAATCTGTATTCCCTCTTTTTGTATTATTCGCGCGGCTGCAATACAGAGTCGTTTCCTGTTCCGAACGCTCCCTCCAAGCTGTTGCTGTTGTTGCTGTGTTCGCGTTCCGAGCGGTCGCAGCTCGCCTGGCGGTTATCGGCCGTTTGTTTTCAATAAGAATTTTACTATTTAAAATTAATAAGTTCAATGAAACATTAAACCCTGAGCACAGGATCGTTTTCGCGTCAAGTTATGTGCGTGAAAGGAGGCAGGCTGAGCGACATAACGGCCGCGGTGGAAGTCTGAGCAAGTTTAGGCAGGCGGGCGAGTTTCGGCCAAGTTCGTGACTTTGGACTGCTAAATTCAATGATTCCGGCGTTTGAACGAATGTGCCCGGTGTGTTTTAAAGTGAGGTACGTTGTTGTCGAGGTGTGAGTGTTATTTTTTAAGTCGTCGTCGTGTTTGGGCGACGGATTGTTGTTATTTGTTGGTTGGTCCTCCTAACCTCGCTAGACCAGTTTGGTTCGTAGTTAAATTCTTTGTTATTTTCCGTCTCTTCACTTTGATGTGGGGATGGGAGTTGTTTGGTGCCTCCGTTACTATCGTCCGGAGGCGCGGGCCCATTTTTCTTTTCGCGATAGTGTTTCAAATATAGAGTGATTTCAATTCCAATCACCCCCAGGCTTGTTTCCATTCAAAACGAATGAATGAGTAGATTGTTGCTGTTTTATGCCTAGTGATCGTTGTCAATGACAAAAAACAGTGGTGAATGTTTCTTGTTTGGAAATCCTAACCTCCTTTGTGTTTTGCAGGTGGGGTTGAGATGCTGAAGATCATGCCGTCACTTTGCTGCATTTCTCGCTTTCAAGATGTGATACAGCCTCTGTTGGTGCGGTGGCGGAAATGGATTACCAAATGTCGGTGAGTAGTGCTAAAATGTGGTGAGAGCAAATGGATAAAGTACCTGCTCCAGTAAAATGACTAATTTTTTTTGTGGTTTTGTTACAGGGTGAACGTTTAAGATAGAGTTTGTCAGATAAGAAATGTTCGACGGTTTATGTGTTGAAGGTGCCTTGATGAGTGAAGTGGTCGACACTTGTGTGATGGAGTTGTGGTTCAAACCTAGTTCGAGCAAATGTGAGATGCGCTTTAAACTGTTCACAATCGTGAAGTGAGGAAGTGTTGATGGGTAACAAGATAGGTGCCTACTATCCCTGCCTGCACGTTTCAAAAGGTAATGTCAGTGTGTTGATGTCGCCAGTTTCATGCTAGACTTAACTTCTTGTTTTACAAACCCATTTTACACATTTCATTGTAGGTTGACACCTGCTGACTTGAAACGCCACTGATGTGTGGAATTTTGTGTAACTCTGAAGACTGTTCTATGGAACCCTGTTTGATAATTTAGTGACTTTTTGTGGATTTGTTGATTCAAAGAAGAACCCTGCTCGTGTGTGGTGAGTGTGTCTTGCTCTACTTCCGATTTTGAAAAAAAAACAAAAAAAAAACTGTTGCAGTTTCTTTTTCTAAATTATTGCCCTTTTTTTCAGGTTGTGAGCAAGCTCAAGAGGGTATTTTCTTGTCAATAGAAGGGAGAGTGAAACCTGCTGTGTTTTGTGAAATTATCCTATAGGCATTTAAAGGAGTTATTATCACCATTTTTAAGGTTTGTGACATAAAATGTCAAGAGTTAGTTGCAGATAGCAGGAATATTTTTTTAAATGTTTTGTTTTTCCTCCACAGTTATTATTTTTTTTTTGTTACACTTCTGGCCATGAGAACTGTGTTTGGACTGTGAGGAGATGTTCGCTTTTGACATGAACTTTGGAACGGTCCTGAAATTTGTTCGAAATGTTCGTTAAACATGGATTTGGATTCCAGAAACTGGAATGGTAAGGTATTTGATAAAACATGTGTATGTATGAGAATTGTGTGGAGTTTAAGTTTACTGGACATAGTATGAGAAATTTTGTGGCCATTTCAGGTTTGCATTTATCAGACTGCTGCTTACAATTTCTTTGCAAATTCCTGGAGGGAGTCTTTGTGGATGAAGCCAAGCGCAGTGGTGAGTTTCTGTTTCGATTTTATTATAATTCTGACATTGTTGTGATCCTCCTCAACTGTAGGCTGACCACTTTGATTCCTCACCTAAAGACAGAACTAAGTAACTCTTTCTTTCTTTCTTTCTTTCTTTTTCTTACTAACCAATGGCAGCAATCAAGTATAGTATAAAATATAAATTTTTATA